CCCGGACTCTACTTGTCTATTTCTGTTTGTTTTTCAGCTGAAATATTGTTTAGCTAGACTTGCAGAACTGCGTACAGCTCGTGATTGGTAGCACCGAGTAATGAAGCTGACGGTGGGTTGGTTCCAGTAAGCTCCAACAGTCGTCGTGAGAAATATCGGGAATCTTTCGAACGAAAATAAGCAAGATGGGGGTAAAAGACAGAGGTCACGAAATCGGGCCATAAAGATACTATATTTTCAAATTTTTCAGATCTGAAGGCACTTGAAACAACCCTGAGCTTCAAGGAAATGAATGACATGTTGGCGGCGCTGCACGAAAAGGCGCGTCTTGTATATCCCTAAGCAGTACTGATCGAACTTTTATGCGTTTTATGCTGTATAACAGCAGTACAAAACACATATTGTCACGGAATTGTCTGTGTTTGTATATGTGTGTCCCACATTTTGTCCCGCACTTTCAACTCAGGAACCACAAAAGCTAGGCGCTGAAATTTTAGTATAGTGTTCCCCGCCAACGGGTAACGCGGCAAATTTAAATTCAACCTTCCCGTACCCGCGGGTAACACGTACGGCCCCGTAAAAGTTTTTCGGGTAAAATTAGTATTTCGGGAACCACGGAAGGTGGAAGGCTAAAATTTTGTGAGCATTTCTCCCGCCCATGTACTAGTCAGAAAATTTAAATTCAGCTTTCCTCTGCCTGCGGGTAACAAGTACGGCCCCGTGAAAATTTTTGACGGGTAAATTATTATTTCGGGAATCACGGAGTCTAGGAAGCAGAAATTTTAGGGTAGTGGCCTCCTGCCCACGCTTAACCTTGCCTATTCAAATTCAGTTTTCCCGCGCTCTCAGGTATCACCTACAGGCCAGTGAAAATTTTGGCGGGTAAACTATTAACTCGGCAATCACGGAAAGATACTCACCCTTCAATGTTTCGAATTCAGCTTTCATGCGCATGCGCGTGAAATTTCTAAATATTTTTCAGTGTTTCAACTATTTTTGCATAGACTAAAGTACAGCGCAGTGAATATCATTAATAGGCAATCGTTTGATGGGCTGAATTGCACAAAACGCATGCTAGCAACGGCTAGTCTGGTGCGCGTTGCTATTTATTTCCGGTTGCTGTAGCCGTCCTGACTTTACCGCTGAACCTTTCAGATCGACGATATAACGCAACGTATTGAAAAGCTGGAGACACGCGGTGCGCCGAAAACAATTAGTGCCACAGAAAAGTCGGAACTACTAGCAAAGCAGCAATACTACAACGGAGTGTACAAAGAGCGCAAACGAATTGCCGAAGTTATCATTGACGCACTCAACGAGCACGCAGGAACACCCAAGAGAAGGCTTATGGTCAGTTTTGTTGAGAACTTCCTTTGTGGGGTATTTTTTTATAGTCAGAGCCCCCGTTTTGGCAATTACAAAAACTCGTCTTGGCTCGGCTGGCGATCTATGGTGCATTGGCCTTCCAGCGCCTTGCTCTATCATCTCTGCCAACACTATTTCGCGACGCCGCTTGCTAGAACTCTGCCAGCGAGCGGCGTCGCGAAATAGTGTTGGGCAGCGCTGCCCAGTGTCTGGCGGTTGGATCACGTGGCCGCGGGGGTGATGGTTGGGAGGAGTGGACGTATTTTAGGGGGAGGGGGGGGGCGTTGGTTGGTAGTTGCCTAGATACAGCTCAGAGAGCGCGATTAAGGCCAGGATAATGGGGAGGAATGAAGTTGCTAGTTAGGAGTTCAGGACGATAAACGGTGGCAGTGGTTGGACGTGGTGGGTGCCCCGATACGACTCTGGAGGCAGGGATTGGGGACAGGATACAGGAGGGGAAGAAGAGTGCTGGTCAGGAGTTCGAAGCAAAAACT